AAGGAATTCTAAAGGGAGCCACATGCTTGAGTAAAGGTTGCCGTGTTGCATACATTTATATCACATATACATTTTTGAGAGCATTTGGAAGCTTTTTGAATAAGAATCTTTGCATGATGCCTTTTCCATGCACATCCAGGATGATATATTTATCCAAGAGATAGAATCTCCATTTATGTTCTGTTAGTACAGCTAATCATTTGACTGAAGGTTACTTGTGGCCTGGCCATCCAAGAGCTGACTGTGTGGGCCGGGGTGGACCAACTCTCATGGCTATCCTGGGGCTTTGGTCTACCACTTCCTGGCCCGGGAGACCCTGCTTGTTTTTCCCCCATCAACCCTCTTGGCTGTGCCTGCACACAGGGTGGAGATGCCTTATAGAATTCACTGCCACTCCTTGAATCGTTTCCTTTATCACTCACAAGGCCTGTCATTGTGACATGTAGAGCTGCCAGACCTGGTCTTGAGGTGAAGCCACTGTCTTTCTGCCCACTGCTGATCCTGAAAACGCTGCTTCTGTGGGACTTGTCCTAGAATCCTTGGCGATTTATGAGGATCTTGTGGCCATTAATAGACACATCTTGGCAGTACTCTCTCATGGTACACAGATTTTGTGACCAGAATGTTCACTGGGATCTGTAGAGTGAAGTGCCTACACCCATCCTTCTATTTCTCAGAATAGGTACTTTTGTCCTAGTCATAGAACTTCTAATTTGCACTGTCCCCATTTGGGGTAAAATGTTGGACTCTGAACCAGACTTGGGCTTGTCTTGGTTTTATCCTCTAAGATCTTCCACTCTAAGATGAAATGATGCCCATAGCCGCTCATCTATCTTATCGTAACTAATGTTAATTCCTACCATTTATTTTAACCTTTGACATTTTAAAATGTATTCATTTATACTTCTCAACACCCCTGCTTTCCACGTACATTTGATAAGCATTAACATTTTGTGTCTGTTTTAATGGTGTTTAATGGTGCCTGTAGAGGGCTTCTATTACTGTCATTTGAGATGGCCTTACGCACTCTATAAGCTTATAAATGTGCTGATACTGGAGTTTGTGCTTGGTTTGTCTTCTCCTGTAACTTCTTACAGGAGCGCACTCGACATAGTGTGCTTGGTAACTATTTGTTTTGAGTGTGATAATGGTATCCTAGATGGAGCTGACTGTGCTTCTGGCCCACTGTTGGGTCCCTGCTGGGTCATTTGGAGATCTGCGTGGTGTTCTGGATGCTCCCCGAGCCTAGCAGGATGTCAGAGCTGTCAGACAACTTCCACCTAGCATCTGAGAAACCCATCCATTGCTGGACCCTTTGGCAGAGGCCCAATGTGTCTTTCAGACTTTCTGCCTTATGTGTTCAGAAATTGCTACAGATTCCTTAAACAACCCCCTATCTAGATACCTTAGGGAAGACGTTCTTAGGGTTATTCTGGCCCATTGATGCCAGTCTGCACTGAGAATGCTTTTCCATTCTGAGATTTTGGAGAATAACATTGCTTTATGTGGGCTCAAACCTGGGTGGGTAGGTACTAGAAAGCATTGCTCTTCAGCACTGTCTTGCCTTTATAGACTATGAAAAAGCCTTTACCCTGTGGTTTTGTTGTTCAGAGATAGCAAGAATGGCAACAGAACCATTGTGCTTGGATAGTCCCTCCACTCTAATCAATCAATCCAGTGTTTGGGGCAAGATGTGTCACAGAACCATCCTTGGGAGGTTGGGCCAGGGACAGGAAAGTATTTAGTAGACAGGGGAGCAATTAGTAAGGATGGACATTTAGAAAGTAAGTGGCAAGAGGGGCGCCTGGTTGGCTCAGTTGGTAGAGCACATGACTCTTGATGTTGGGGTGTGAGTTTGAAGCCCACGTTGGGTGTAGAGATTACCTAAGAGAATAAAATCTTAAAAGAAATTAAAAAAATTAAATTGAAAATGGCAAGAAATCTGATGAACACAAGGATTTTCTATAATTAAAAAAAATAGGAGGGGCGCCTGGGTGGCTCAGTGGGTTAAGCCTCTGCCTTCGGCTCAGGTCATGATCTCAGGGTCCTGGGATCGAGCCCCACATCGGGCTCTCTGCACAGCGGGGAGCCTGCTTCCTCCTCTCTCTCTCTGCCTGCCTCTCTGCCTACTTGTGATCTCTCTCTCTCTCTGTTGAATAAATAAATAAAATCTTTAAAAAAAAATAGGAATATGCATCTCTCTTCTCCCAAAGGTTCTAAAATTGGTTATTGACAGGCCTCCAAGCTTGCTCTCTACGCCTCCCCGTTCCCAGCCACCCCCAAAGACTGAACTAGTCTAAAATCTGGGTGTCTTTTCTACGTTTTTAAAATAGTAGCACTATGCTGCTCTGAGCACATAAAGCTGTATTTTCACTGTCACCTCTGACTTGTAGTAGTCCTTGGTAATTACATGGTGCTTTCCTTCTGTAAGTCTATGAACACATGATAAATGTTAACTCTTACTTCTCCCAGCACCTCTGTAGAGAGAGGGGGAGACTGCACGGTGTCTGTTATCCCTGCGCTTGGTCTCGTTTACCTACAGGTTTCGCTCCATGTTTGGTCTGGTTACATCTCCTTGAGGTATTCTTTCCTGTGTGTGGAAGAGCTGGTTAAGTGGCGGGTGCTCTTAAGAATGATGTTCTGTGCTGCCACGTGGAAACCCTAAAGTCTCCATAGAAGCAAGAAGCCAAAGGACAGGCCTCCTGGCTTTAGGAAGCAGATATTCCTAGCCTCCACAGTTTAGCCAGTTTTTACTGTTTTGATTACAGAGGAGATTGCTAGAACAGTTAGAAAGCATTCTGTCTGTCAAAGAATGTATCTGCTCCTGACATGTAAAAGGAGAAATCCTTCATTGCCTCTTTGGTTGTAATTTTTACGGCTTTTTCTTAGTTCTTGTAAAGAGTCATTTCTTCCTAAGATCTGTTTTTTTTCTCCTTTTACATCCCGAAGAATGGAATATCAAGTAACTTTGAAATTTATACTAGTGAATTGCAAAAGCTGGATGAGATGTTGAAGAGACTTACGGAACAGAACAAAATAATTACAGTTTTAAATTTCTTTAGCCATCCTTAACTTTAATATATTGCTTCGTTAAACAACATGATTTCAATTTATTATGCAAATGTAACAATTATTCCATTAAAATCTGTTAGAAAGATCACACCCTTTGTTTCTGTGGCACAATAAGTAATGTTGAATGTTCCATTTTTGTTTTTGATTTGCTTATTTTGTCTTTAATGACAACCCATTTAAAGTAAAAGTCTTTAAAATGGTAGAATAAAGTGATAACATGTTTTCACTGGTAATTTAATACTTGGATATAATGAGTTCATCTGAGAGATTTCATTAAAAACAGCAAGGTGCCTGAATACCAAAGCTGAGATGTTTTTAATCACAGAATTATAGTAATTACACAAATCCCAAGATTTTCATCCGACAGAACGGGCTTCCAGAGCTAAACATGCACTTTAAACTTAGCACTAATAACTATGTATTGTTCTAAATTATAGCAGAGAGACTCCTTGGGCTAAGGGGAATATTGGAATTGAATTTTTAAGGAAAATTGAGAAATAAACTATTTTGGTAATGGTATCTGTAAGAGGCACATCACCATGATAATGGAAGAGGATCTCTGTATGCTTTAGACATAGCAGGTGCATATCAGATAAAGTCAATGAGCCCATTATTGTTGACTATATTTTCAACATAGAGAGAATGCTAGAAGGAGCACCTCTTTCTTCTCCCAGGGGTCCTGAAGTTGCTAATTGACAGGAGTCCTCCTTCCAGTCAGTAAATGAGACAGCAGACCACCAGTAAGTGAGATGATTATTGGCCCAGAATCTGGATTTTCTCGGTTGGATGAAGACTCTGGAAAGAACAATTTGGTTTTTGTGGGGATTATTTAAAATGTCAAATTTTTATAAAATGGTCAGGACATAGTACCCTCAGGGAGCTTGCTTTTAAGAGAAGTTATATAAAAAAGATGCACCCAGGAAGATTTTATAAAAAATCTCCCTAAGCAAGAAATTTTGTTTGCTCTGTTTTCTATTTATCGTTAATTCTTTCTGTTTTCTGGCTCAGAAGGGTACGGGGAGACAAGGAAGGGGAGTAAGGGGAAAGGGAGGACATTGAAGGAGCATGTTCTGAGGTGTCCGTGATGGGTGGAGGAGGGAGGAAGGAGCTTGGGGCAAATGAAGAAGGCGGGTTAGGTTGGCTTCTCGTGTGTGACAAGGGGTTTGGAGTTTGAATGAAAGGCTCTGCGATCCGTCTGGGTATTCCTGATGATCAAGCAGGACCCAGAAGACAGAGACATGCCTGGGATTGGAGTCCTGACAAGATAAGTATTTCTGGTCTCCATTCTCCCAACCCCATCCCTTTCTGTGGTAAACTCATCATCCCTGGTCTGCAAGTTCCAACTGCCTCTGGACTCCATCTGATTATGTTATCGTCCACGTGTGTTATTTGCATATTTGAAGCTCCAGGGGCTTCCCCCCTGCCTCATTAGAAAGTTTGAAGACCATTCTGAGTCAGGTCCCAGCCCTGCCCTCAGTGAGGGCACACAGGTGAGCTCATATAAGCCTCCGCTTTCACATCCCTCGCTGCTGGGCGGGCCTGGCTGGAGAAGCCCCTGCCTGCAGCATCAGCTTCCTTAAGGTTTTGCTTTTTCCCTTCTAACCATCAAAATAATATGTGCCATTGTGGAAAATTTATAAGATAGAGAAGGATGTAGAGAAGCCGGAAAGTCACCATTAATGCTTGCAGAGGAAACTCCCATTTTGCCATCTTTCGTTCAACTCTTTTTCCTGTATCCTTTGTTTTTTATGTGCACAGCCCTGCACATACATGGGTGTCCTGATTTAGAAACGGGTAACAGTATTTAATCCGCTGTCAAAAACATTTTCTGTAAGCCTCCCAGGAGGCCTATTGAACATCCGTTGCCACGGTGAACGTAAGGGTGTTACATCTTGATTAAGTGTCATTGCCGTTTGGTGTCTTCCCAGGTCCCTTCTTGTGGTCTGCTGCACCTCTGGAAGGCTATGATGGGAATGAAGGTGGCCGCCTGCAGGTTTCACCGGACCGGCTGCTTCTGCCTAGAAGGTCATCCTTTCCAAGCAGGAAAAGTGCTCCCCGTGGTGGTCGACCTCAAGGGACCAGACACACTGTAGAGAGAAATGGATGAAAGCAGCTTGGGGGGCCCCAGACGCGTGCTCCCCGCGGTCTAGTCCAGGGACGCCCTTCCGCGGGGCCCTGGCCTTCTGGAATGTGGCCGGCTGCGGCCGCATGGCTGATTCCTGAGTGACGATGCTTCGGCGGGGGCTGCTGGCGTGCGTCTCTCGCGTGGTGGTTTTGCTCGTGCTGCTCTGCTGTGCCGTGTCCGTGCTCTACATGCTGGCCTGCACCCCGAAGGGGGACGAGGAGCGGCTGGGGCTGCCCCGGGCCAACGGCCCCACGGGGAAGGAGGGGTACCAGGCGGCCCTGCAGGAGCGGGAGGAACAGCACCGCCACTACATCAGCAGCCTCAAGCGGCAGGTCGCGCAGCTCAAGCAGGAGCTGCAGGAGCGCGGCGAGCGGCTCAGGAGCGCGCAGTCTCACCCCAGCGACGCAGCGGGCCTGCGGCTGGAGCCGGGGCCCCCCGAGAAAACCCAGGCGGACCTGCTGGCCTTCCTGCGCTCGCAGGTGGACAGGGCGGAGGTGCACGCCGGCGTCAAGCTGGCCACGGAGTACGCCGCCGTGCCTTTCGACAGCTTCACGCTGCAGAAGGTGTACCAGCTGGAGACCGGCCTGACTCGGCACCCCGAGGAGAAGCCCGTGAGGAAGGACAAGCGGGATGAGCTGGTGGAAGCCGTGGAGTCGGCCCTGGAGACCCTGAACAGCCCTGCGGAGGGCAGCCCGAATCGGCGCCCCTACTCGGCCTCGGATTTCATAGAAGGTTGGCGACTGTGAGAATGGGGGTGGGGAGGCACCAGGGTCCAGGCGCCCTGGCCAGTCCCCGCCACAGCAGGCTGGCAGCTGGCCTTTGGGCGTGGCGGGTAGAAAGTGTTATGGGAGCGACCGCAAGGGTATATGGCATGGAGTCTTCTTTCTCAGAAATATCCATTCTACTTACTTCCTCATGAAAATCACACTTATTGAGGGGTCAGGTTCATTGCTCCCTGGTAGGAGAAGGCAGAAGTTCTTGCTTTCATTAAAAAAAAAAAAAGAAAAGAAAAGAAAAAGAAAGAAAGAAAAGTAAACCAAACATAAACAAAAACCATTGAAACTCCAGTGGAGGTTGATAGGTGGTTTTAACAGATCTCCTCCCTGGGCCCTTCTCCTAGGTCAGACCTGGTTATCAGCCCAGGAACACCAGAGCGGTTGCGAACATGTGGTCTGCGGCACTCATCATCTGCCAGACACTGTTGGAGGAACTGTATACTTACTGAATCCCTTTTCCTCCTTAATGACCCCATTAGGAGGATGAGGAAACTGAGGTTCAGGTTAATGGTGTAAATGACCTAAGGTTGCTCAGTTAGCGAGTGACAGAGCCAGGATTTGAACCTGTGAAGTCTGATTCCAGAGTCCACATCCTTAACCACTACGTTACATTGTACAGGCTGCCAGATGGCATGAACACTAGCGAGATGAACAGCTTGGCTTCTTTCATGGGCACAGAAACTATTAGTTTGTGTTTGTGTCTAATTTTGGAAGAAAGTGGCCTCGTCTCATTCCTTGGAAGATGCGTTAGTATCCTCTTACCGGCTTTTCCCTTGTTACCGGGGCAAAAATCAACTAATAATTTGGGAGTGGAAATAACGTTCGAGGGCAGCCAGCTCTTCCCCCTCTTTCTGGAGAGAATCTACTTCAACTTCCCAGATGTGTGGCCGCGTCCTTGTCACCATGCTCCCAACTTCGGTTATATAACCGTCGTCTCATCAGCCTACAGGACAGATGGGCTCTGTTTAGTCCTATCAAAAAGCGCTTGCCATCATTTATGCCACTTCTCTTCGGACACTTCCCCATCTTACAATTTTTTTCCACTTTATATGTGAACCATACCTCGTACAATTTTGGTAAAGAATTATTTTTCATATGCCTCAAGCCAGGCAAAGAAATCTTTTACAAGATCAAACTTTTGGTTGTCGAGATTTGTTGTTGTTGTTGTTGTTCCTCATGTATATGAGGTATTAAAGATTCCCAGCACATCGGCGGCTCGCAACTGCAAGCACATGGTCAGCACTTAGGGGAGCTCGAAACATGACACTGCTGCATCCCATTTTATTGCGCTTTGGAGTTTATGAAACCTTTCCACGTAGAGTATCTTGATAGCTGACCCACGGGGAAGGCCATTAAACATCCTTGAAAAACGAATCCTGGCTACCACTCACCCTGGATATGCTATGGGAATTGCCCCCGCACAAAGCGATTTCAAAAGAACTTTATTACAAATCAAAGCCTGCAATTTGGAATGTCTGCCCTTGTGATTTTTTTCATCTGCATTCATGTTTGAAATCTGTCTGCTTTCCTGCGTAGAGTATCTTACACCAGGCCTGTTGTCCTCACTCAGCAGTGACACAGGCCTTTGGTGCCTGCGTTCCTTTGCTCGGAGAGGTGACTGGTTTTCTGTCAGAGACGCTGCTCTCCTTGCTACCCCGGGCTGCTTCCGTGTGCTGCCCACAGCCTCTAGTGGCAGGCAGACCCAGCCGCACACTTCTACCAGGTTGGTGAAAGTCTAGTCAGCTGTTTTCCTGGAATGGCAGCTGATTAGCTGAACCTGGAGCGAGTATGGGGATTCTTTGTGTTTCAAGAAATAATAATGAAAACACATGGAATGCTTCCAGGTGATAATAGTTCCACAAAGCTTAAAGCTGACTGTGAGTTAGGTGGCATGATGACATGAGCACAGGGAGCTGTGTGACTCTGACCAAGACCCTGAAGCCCCACGGAGACTCGGTTTCCTCATCTGTCCTCAGAGGCTTGACTTAATGTCCTCTGAGGCCTTATCCCCCACCCCCAACCCTCTGCAAAAAGCAAAATACAGCTTCAGCGTCTTTTCTTCTTATCTTTGCCAAGCAGCCATCCCGGAAGGGTACTCTGCCACCTGCTCTGCTGGGTGACCAGGACATGCCACCAACCCTTTGGGATCTTCCTCTATAAAAAGGAGAAATTCTGGTAGATTATCACGTGTGGACTGACTGTGGCCACTTCCTCGGGTGGCATGAAGCTTGCAGAGGGAGAACACCACATCGATGATGATCTATTATCTATACTGATGTAGTTATTTTCTGTCTCTAAGACAGAGGGAACGGCACAAGCCTCCCTCCTCCCTTCCCTCGATGTTTTGTTGGCATAGATTTTTGCTTTGGCTTCTTACATGTAAGAGCACAATTTTTTTCTTTTTTCTTTTTCCCAGCTATCTGGGAAAAGAAGTTAAAGTAGAAAAATGGGATCAAATCCTGTACTGTAGGATGCCTAAGTGTTTATCTCCTCAAGTGAACAGAAAATCTTTGTGTTTGTGGTTTAGCTTTTCCTTCAGTATTTACCTCCAAGTGGCATAACTTTTGGCTTTGGTTTCCTATTTTTCAGTAGACTCTTGGACATAAATTTGACATGGTTCCATGAGACAATTTCGCCTTCCAAATCATTCCTCTTTTACTATCCAAGTATCTGAGAACATGAATCTACATGAGGCATTTGTGTCTCCTGTCTCCGTGGGGTTGCTTCTCTGCCACCCTCCTCCAGCTTCTGCACCTTAGCGGTGGCCAGAGTGGGTCAGATAATAACAGAGTTGGTTTGGGGGTGGGGGTGGACCCAAGCTATGATCCACAAGAAAGTGAAGGTCTTGAGGGCACTCTGAGATGCATTTAAAGCTAGGGGCATAGAAATCGTTATAAGACCTTAGTAGCTCTTTTTACCGTAATTCCTGACCTATGCTCAATGACCAGCACCTTATGCTTTCTGGGAGAGAAAACTAAGGCAAGGAGTGAAGACTGAGTTTTAGACTTCCATGGATGTCCTGTGACCCCTTTGCTAACACTGTTTTGGACAAGTCAAATCCATTTCCAGGTCCTGGGTACTTGGAGAGCAAGGGGCTTGGGGCCGTGAGGACAGGAAGTGGGTTCTTTTCTCAGCACGCATGTCAGTGATACGCTTCTTTGCCGGCAACTTTGTGACTGGGGACTTGAAAAGCGCAAGGCATTTGGATGCATTTCTGGCCACTTCTGGGGATCTTGGTGCAGAAATAGGGGAGAGCTGGGGTGGGAGTGGGAGGGGGATTCTGCACAGTGGGTGGCTCTGACCTGTTTGGGGGTGTGGGGAGAGGGGCCAGCAGGCGGGACAGCAGAAGGACTTTAGGTTGTGAGTTGGGCCTTGGTTCTCGGCCAGCATCTCCAGGGCAGTGAGGGTGTTAGAGCTTATGACCACGTCTCACCCTACTGTGCGCTGGAGTGACCTTGTTGGCTCCCTTCTAAGTTCTGAGTAGGCCTGCCGAATATTGGGTTCCTCCGTCACTCACCCTGTCCCTTCTATCCCACTTCCTACCTCAGATTTCCGCCTTTGTTTGCTGATGCTTTAAGGTCCTTTAAGGAGGGAGAAATGCTTTTTATTCTGAAATCAGAGATAAAAGGCTCAAGTGCACATAAATGGTTTGAGGCTACCCTTTGAAGAGGGAATTCTCCCTGAGGTGATGGTGGGAGAGAAGGTGTCCCAGCCTAGAACTCAGCTGGTGAGCAGGAGTCCAGCTCTCCACCAGGGCGAGTGGGAGAGCCCCAACGTAGAGTGAATGCTCTGCTGTCGTAGAATGTTTTGAAATTCTCAATAATTTTGAAACGGGGGACCTTACATTTTCATTTGGCGTGGAGACCTACAAACCAGGTAGTAAGTCCACCTCCAAAGCTGAGAGGACAGAAGGGAAAGGTGAAGGGGGAGGGCGGCGGAATGAGAGGGTGAGCTGTGCAGTCCGGCGCCTTTGCTGAGGGTCAGCTCGGTCGACCTTCGGTGTGCCGAGACTAATGGAACCTGTGTTTGACATACATCCTGTGGGTACAGGGTATTATGTCACAGCACTGCAGAAGCTGGCAAGGCTGCCTTTTTGGTGTATTTTCATTGTGCTCATGCAAAGCAGTTTTGTTCCCAGGGAATTTTTTCAAAAATTGAGGTTGTCACTGTTCTCCTTCCTGCCTTGTTTCCTGTTAAGAACAGGCTACAGGGGCACTTGTGAAAGTGGGGGATGTCTAGGATGGACGACTTGGCTTTAGCAGGTGTGCTAGCAGGGTGCAAAGGCTCAGTGACGAGAGGGTCTAAATAGAGGCCTCACACAACGTGGAAGGATGTGGGGGGTGACGGGGACGGGGAGACCCAGGCTGGAGCCCTTTCACAAGAATGTGTGGCCACGGCTATTGCTCAGACTTCGGCCTGCTCAGCCCCTTCGGGAAGGAAGCGGTGTTTGCAGAAAGGATCTGTAGTTTTTGTTGTTTGTTTGTTGTTTTTTTTTAACCAGACCTCTAGTTTATCCCCTGTTAGAGTCGTGGGTGGGGTCTTGCACCAAGGCATAATCAGCATGCATGGACAGGAGCCCTGTTATTTGTGTAGGATGTCTCCACCTGTTTTGGGGGTTGGGAAAGGAAGCTAGTGCTAGGTCTCAGGCTTGAAGGACCTGATTATGTACATGAGCAGACACAGCTCTGGGTGATGGAGGGTTCAGTGGGGGGTACTTTTCGTGCTATGGGCTTCGGAATTGGTGGCTGGGTGCAAGCCAGATGGTCAGGGAAGATGTCAGAGGAGGCTGGACCTGAGCTGGTCTCTAAAGCTGAGAAGGGAAGGAGGCAGCAAGGACAGGGGTACCGGAAAGCCGACTGCCTCCAAAGTAGGATTGGTGTATAGGCTTAGCATGGAGACCAGCCTGGTCAGCGTGCAGGATCTGAGACTCGCTAGGAGTGGACTTCGCAAGGGCCC